TTTCAAAGGGCGTGCGAATACTTTCGTCCACCTCTGTAGGTAAGTCCTCGTAGTTACATTCTGTACGAAAACTCGCGTACCTGTTTTGAAACCAGACTTGAACGACGCGCATGTCGAGTCCTGTGTCCTGAGAAAGTTGCTCCCGCACGTGTCTCGCTGGCTTAGGGCTGGTGTTGTACGCTAATTTTAATGTTTCCAACTGCTTTGCTGTGATCGTGGTCCTCGGCCTTTTATTTGGCTGGTCGCCGTCTATGCTTCCCTCTGCCAGTTCTGCAATATCGACGGAGCAAACGTCGTTTAAAATGTCTTCATACATCTCATCTGTCTGACAGTGAGTAAACGAAAGTGAATAAAAAAAAAATTTTGAGAGTGGCCAAATGTTGTAAGTTATGACTTATCACTGATAGGTGGGAAATAAATTGAATTTAACTGACACTAACTTTATTTTTCAGAATAAGCCTGTTGACTTTTAGAAGAATGTGATAATTTTGGCCTCTTCTAAAAATCTTAACTGCGATTAGCACTTAGTTAAACTTACTTGCACTAGTATTCACTGTGACTAGCATTCTCTGAGTAATTATGAGTTATGACTCGGATTAGCACTAACTGATATCATCTTTATTTTCTAGAATAAACCTACTGGCTTCTACAAGAATGTGATAGCTTTGGCCTCTGCCAAGGAAGTTCAATTTTGTCTTGACTGTGACTGTTACTTAGACTTATTTGCACTAGTATTCACTGACTTGACTAGCATTCTGTGACTAACTATGACTTATAACTTGGACTAGCACTAACTGACACTAACTTTATTTTTCAGAGTAAGCCCTCTGACTTTTACAAAAACGTGATAGCTTTGGCCTCTTCCAAGGAAGAACAATTTTTTCTTGACTATGACTGATATTTAGACTTATTTGCACTAGTATTTACTGACTTGACTAGCATTCTGTGACTAACTATGACTTATAACTTGGACTAGCACTAACTGACACTAACTTTATTTTTCAGAGTAAGCCCTCTGACTTTTACAAGAATGTGATAGCTTTGGTCTCTCCCAAGGAAGCTTAATTGCGACTGATATTTAGATTTATTTGCATGACTTGACTAGCATTCTGTGACTAACTATGACTTATAACTTGGATTAGCACTAACTGACACTAACTTTATTTTCCAGAGTAAGCCCTCTGACTTTTACAAAA